GCGTCACGTGACGCTAGTAACACGTCATTGACTTCTAAAAATATCCTGTTTCTTCATGAATGCTATAGCGTTTGCTAGATATGTGTTAGTCTTGTATATATAAGACGGTCACAACGTGAAGGGGGAAGGTAATGTGTAATTGAACTGAGTATTGTTGAGTCGAGCACATGAGACGTTCATTGAGAAGTATAGCGTTTGTTATAGCGCGACTGTTGAAATTAAGTGTATCACAAAGTTATATTCAGAAAGAATAAACCAGTTTTATTTAAGAAAGGACTTGTGTCGCTAAAGTTTCGTCGGAACGAAATTACGGAAAATTAACTAACTAACGGAGATGTAACACTATGTTTGTCGAAAGTGTAGAAGTATCTAATTTAAACTTTCGTTTCTCACTATAAAAGTACAATTCTAAGTCCTATAATTTCAAAAGGGAAGTTCTAACCTAGAGATAGCAGCTGACTTACCATTGGAGGGTACTAGCTATTTCTACGTTCTTGCACTAGGCAGCATTACTGACAGTCTTAATGAGCAGACACAAGTAAAAACGTCGACGGATGAAGTTCACGTGATATTCAGCTATTGAGTTCGGCAAAATAGTATTTGTAATGTAGTGTGCTGTGATTTATGACAGAAAGATTACTTCATAAGTGGATGAAACTTCAAATATTGGTATATTAGGATATAATATTAAATGATTAATTTCCCTATCAGGCTATTTGTGTCAAGAAACATTATATAACATGGAATAGAACATTACTTTCACAAATGTGTTTTTGATTTGTGACGCCCCCCAGTGGCAAAGCGGTATGTGTGCGGACTTACAACGCTAGACACCTGGTTTCGAGACCCGTGATGGGCAGAGCACAGATAGCCCATTGTGTAGCTTTGTGCTTAACTCCAAAGAAACAAACAAACAAACTGATTTGTGACACGAAGAGTACTTAATAAGTTAATGTAGTTTCAAAGACTGAGTAATGAGGTGTATTAAGTGTTGAATTTCGGTATTACAGACTGTTTGTGTCAAGAAGTGCTATATATTGTGGAATAGATCATTTAATCACCTTCAGAAATATGTGTGTTACGTCTCCGTTTGTTAATTAACTTTCCGTAACTTCGTTCCGACGAAACTTTAGCGACACAAGTTCTTTACTTAATAAAACTGGTTTATTCTTTCCGAATACAACTTTACCAATACACTCAACTTCAACAATCGCGCTAAACAAACGCTATAACAACGAACGTCAATAATACTTCTGACCGCAGATCAATTACTCACTCTCTTTTCACACACGTTACATTCCCCTCTTTTATATACCAGACCTACCCTATCTAGTAAATACTAGAGCATTCGCCAAGAACCAGATAGTTCTAGAAACTAG